TGTGCTGGTATCCACTTTTGCAGTCAGTAGCGTGCTGCCCACATCTGAGTATAATGTGTTTTTGCCAAACATTACACCCATCTTTAACTTATTGCTTTTTTTTTCCCCCTTAGGCAATTGGGGTTAAGTGACTTGCCCAGGATCACACAGCTAGTACCCCTTAAGTGTTTGGTCTGAAGCCACACTTGAACTCAGGTCCCCCTGACTTCAGGGCTGGTGCTCCACTGTGCCACCTAGCTGCTCCAATTTATTGCTTTCTGCTAGACAGATTAAGTTCCACAATAAAATCACTCCAACAGGATTGACAGCAGAGTTGGGGGTTGGGTGGAACAGAAAAGTAGGAGAGAGAAAGGCTATCTAATGCTTCAATGTAGTCATGAAGAGAGTCTTGATGGGAGAAAGACCCAGCATATCCTGACATATAAAAGCAGAAAGATTTTCTTCATGAATCTTACCAGTAGTACAAGAACTGGTTGGTACATAACATCCCTGACATGGAAAGTAAACAATGTTGACAAGACATTTAAAATAACATACATAAGAAAACTAAAAGAACTCCAGAAGGGGACCTAAACAAATGGCAATTTTGTTACTACTGTGTTAAATCTCCATACAAAAAAAGAAAGAAAAATCATAGCTTCATATGCCAATAGTTCTTGCTTTACATAAGTGGACTGTTCCGTAGACTTCTTTATAAAGCAATCTTTACTTATTAGGGTTAAAGTCAGAGATGGAGGGTTAGAGTTAGGGGTTGGAGTTGGTTAGGGTTAGCATTAGAGTTAGAGATGGAGATGAATTGAGGATTAGAAGTCAGAGGCTGATTTAGGGTAAGGGTTTAGCCTATATAAGAAAGGCATACACAAATAATACATGAAATGTACTAAAATGCAGACACATTAAACATTGCACCATGAAAATAAACAGAATTATGAAATGAAAGGTAAAAGTAATGATAAATAATGGTAACATTAATTAAAGTATTGTACAGCAAAGTTAACATAGGTGTGAAATTTGTTGCTCTATCCAAGCTGCTGCACCTAGCCTTTATCACTGATGGTTGGCTGAAACTTCTTTCAGGATTCTTTACATAAAGTTGAATTTGTGTAATTGAATTTTAGGTAAAGGGAGAACTGTCTGTACAAGCATCTTTTTTTATTGGTGCAAAACTATACAAGTAAATTCTTGCTGCTATTTCCTGCCTCAAACTGTGTGCTGCAATATCTCCCAGTGGAGGCTAGAGGTGGTCTGTATAACATATTGTTAACCTTAATTTGAGGAATCATTCTCTGAGAGGGAATTTGTAGTTCCTTCCTCAACGTGATTATGCAAATATTTTAATGAGAAGTTGAGATCTGGTACACAATCCCATTCCAGCCACTGTCCTTCTATCCGGGAGTAGACTATAAGTTCCTTGAAAGCAGGAATGATCCCAGTTCTCTGTATACCCAATACTTAGAACTGTGTCTGACATAACAGACATTTAATAAATGCTTGTTGATTCATTATTTGTTCTGTTTTACATTAAAACATTCATGTTTGCATCTTCTTAAGTTCATAATAAAAAAGATTTTTTTAAAAGCAGGTCGTCCAACAACAAATTACAAAGGATGCCATGAACCTGTAATAACATCAGAGAAAACCAATCCCTAGATGTTAAGCCGCAACGTAGTTTTCTCATATGAGAGCTTATTAAAAAAAAATAATAAGGTGCATTCCCAAGGGGGAAGTGACATTTTCTTTAACATTTAAGGTCGGCTGCCCTCTAGTGGAGGGCTGGGCTGAGAATGGCAATACAAGAAAGCCAAAGCTTAGGCCCATAGAAGGCCTCACCCAGAGAGACAACATACAACCGAAACAAAGAGAGAATCAGAAAGTGAATTTTCATCTGCTAATCTCCCTGCTCCCAGGATATGAAATTGCCCAAAGACATGTCAGCTTTAGCCTAAACTATTTAAAGCATTAGGTAATGGGAGAAGAAAACTATAGCCCTGAAGACCTCGAAGATCATACATTGAGCAGCGGAATATCAATTTGAAAAGCACCCCCAAAAGCCTTCCTATTAACGGTGAAATGTGCCTGTGGGCGTTATTCCCTCTCTACTTTTCAGACTCTGGCTCAAAGCACTGAAATATTACCCTTCTACCAGAAGAGAGAAAGATATGGAATACAGGCTTGTCTAAGGCCTATATTGGGGAAGATGAAGCAAAAAAAGTTCTCACAACCTGGTCTAGTGGAGAGTAGAGGATTGGACATGGAGTCAGGAAAACCTTCGCACAAATAACACCTCAGACAGCTGTGTAACTGGGAAAGATAACCTCTGGAGTCTGTTACCTCATCTGTAAAATAAGGATTCTTGGAAAAAATAGCTTCTAAGAGCACTTCCATTTCTAAATCTATGATCCTATGAATTTTTTTATCAGTTAACAAGTATTTTTTGTTACTACCTGATGAGCAAATTAAAAACAAAAAAAAATACTCATAAAACATATTTATACAGTTAGGCAAAGCAGATTCCCATTCCCACAAATTCCCAAATATCTGAAAATATATGTCTCTTTTGTCGTTTTAAGTTCACCTTCTCTGTCAGGAGATGAGTAGTGTGTTTCATGCTTATCCTTTGGATTTGTGGCTTATCATGGTGCTGGTTGGACTTCTAAAATCTTTGGAAGTTATTTTTCTATATGAGGTTATCATTAAATTGTTCTCCTAGTTTTACTCATTCACTCTATGTCAGTTCATAAAGGTCTTCTCAGTTTTCTCCGAGAAACAATTCTCATCATTTCTTATGGCCCAATAATATTCTATTATATTCATATACTACAATTCTTTTAGCCATTTTCCAGTAGGAGGATAGCCCTTTACTTTCCAGTTTGGGTTATTTGAAATGAAAAGAGCCACTAAAATGTTTTTATAATTGTAGATCCTTTTCCTCTTTCTTTAATTTCTTTTTGGTGAGGCAATTAGGGTTAAATGACTTGCCCAGGGTCACACAGTTAGTAAGTGTCAAGTGTCTGCTCTGAGGCCACATTTGAATTCAGGTCCTCCTGACTCCAGGGCCGGTGCTCTATCCACTGAGCAACCTAGCTGCCTCTCTTTGATTTCTTTGGCAGTATGTCTAGTATCGATATAGCTGGGTCAAAGGGTATGGCCAGTTTAGTGACTTTCTGAGCACAGTTCCAAATTGCTTTCTAGAATGGCTGGATTGATACACACCTCCAACAGTGCCTTAGTGTACTTGTTTTCCCACAACTCCTTCAACAATTGTCATTTTTGTTTTTTTTTTCAACTGTGCCATACTGATAAGGTAGAATTCAGAGTTGCCTTAATTTGAATTTCCCTAATTATTAATGATTTGGAACATGTTTTATATGGACTATTGATAGCTTGGATTTCTTCCTTTGAAAAATTACCTGTTCTTATACTTTGACTAATTATCAATTGGAGAATTGTTCTTAGTCTTGTAAATTAGAATCAGTTATATTCATTGTCTTAGAAATTTGACCTTTTTTGATGAAATCTGTTGCAAGGATTTTTCCTATTTGTTTCTTTTCTAATTTTAACTGTATTAGATTTGTTTGTGCAAAAACTTTTACATTTCATCTAATCAAAATAATATATTTTCTCTTCTGTAATCCTATCACTTGTTTAGTGTTGAAAATTTTTTCCTCTATCCATAGATTTAAAAGATTTTTTCCTCCTTGTTGCCTTTATTTATGATGTAACTTTGTCTATCTAGGTAATGTATTCATTTGGAGCTTATTTAGAATATGGTGGGAGGTTTCGTTCTAATGTTAATTTGTGCCAGACCATTGCCCAGTTTTCCTGGTAATTTTTGTCAAATAATGAGTCCTTCCTCCAGGAATGGGGATGTTTGGGTGTCAATACTATGCTGTTGCACTTCTTTCCTTCTGTATGTTTTTGTAGCTAACCCATTCCATTGATATCTCTGTTTTTAAACCATTACCAAACTGTTTTTAAGGACTGCTGCTTTGTGGAGTAGTTTGAGATCTGGTAATGAGAGACACTTCTCCCTCCTTCTTTATCACTTTTTTTCATTCATTACTACCTTTGAAATTATTGACTTCCATAATAACTGTTGCCATTTTTTTCTACCTTTATAAAAGTCCTTTGGTAGTTTTATTGGTATATAATTGGATAAGTAAATTATTTTTGGTAGTATTGTAATTGTTATTAGTTGGTTCAATCTACCCTTGAGCAACAAAAGTTTCTGTAGATATTTATGTGCAAAGATTGATAGGTGGTTCTTGGAGCACATTGGTAGAGACACTCTCAAGTATTTTATAGTTTCTGTGTCATTTTGAATGGAATTTCTCTTTTTTAGCTCTTGGGACTGGGACCATAATCATATGGTTTTTATTGTTTATATTATTAAAATTATTTATTATATTTAGTTGTCCTTGTGTTGAACCAAAGTTACACTCCTGAGATAAATCTAAGCTGGTTCTAATGTGAATCTTTCTAATATGTTGTTTTAGCTTACTGATTAATTTTTTAGAAACCATTTTTGCATCACTGTGGTTAGTAAAAGTTGCTCAACCATTTCTATTTGCATATCCCCCCCACACACACACACTCAGCTTCTTCTACTAATAGGCTAGTTGTGTTTCCCAATATAAATTATCTTTCTTTGCTTTGGGAAGTTCAAATCAATAACTATTATGCGCCCACTATGCGCCAAGAACTGTGCCAAGCGCTGGGGTTACAAATAATAAACAGTTCTTGTCCTCAAGGAGCTTACAGGCTAATGGGGGAAGATTGCGTATGAAAGGAAGTAAAAAGGGGGTGGGGCACCTGCCTCTTGGTGTTCTTGGAGTGGAAACCAGAGCTGCTGATGAAAAGTGGAAACAAATAAAATGATTGCTGGCATATTTTGTTCCCCCTTTAAGTTATATTTTTAAAAAAAGGAGGGCGTGGGAGAGTAGTCTGAATTGGGTTATGGGATCCTCGAGGAGGTAACCCACCTCAGCCATTGCACTCACTTCGCTGGCCGTGAGTCGTTTCCAAGCCCAGTCGAGGGAGGCATCCGCCCAGGCCACCACGTGGGGTGGAACCGTATGGGCTTCTCCTGCCCCTTCTACCCCCGAGCCGGGCCCCATTCTCTGGGAACTCACCCCCCCACAATCGCGGGAGGAGCCCTGCTAGGGCCGCTATTGGCCCTTGTCTCAGACCTTCCCAAGGGCTTGGGTGGGGAGTGACGTAATGCACTCAGCTTGTAGCCCCAACGATGAGCTTCCCTCCGCCCTACGTTGCTTCCGCGCCTAAGTGCCACTATATAAGGTTCACCAAATATATGCCATTTCTTACAGAGGGCGAAAAACCCATGATACATAGCGGCATGCAAATAACAGCTTGCGTCAAAGGCCATCCAATCTTTCCTAGCGCGGGAAATCCCGTTTTCGTCTGTCCCCGGGGACATGCGCATGCGCTATAGCCAGAGAGCGGTCCAAGAAGGTGGGTCGGCCAGGACTCGGTTGAGAGCGCTATGCCCTCGCGCGGAAAGGGTAGAAGCACCGGCCACACCCGAGGTTCGGAGCAGGTTTCGGGGCTCAAGATTAGGAATTGCAAGAGGTTGGAGAGAGGGGGCGGCGGGAGCGTCACCTCCCCACCTCCGCCCTCGCAGCGGTCCCTGGGAATCGGAGCGTCCCGGGCTTGGTATTGGGGAGGCGAGGGTGGGGCCGCTTGGCGGGACTCTGCAGGGGGGATGGCTGGTGCCGGGGGGGAGGGGGGGAGGGGCCGGCCTGACGGAGAGCCGGCTCCCCGTCCCCCGGATCCTCTGCCCTCGTGTTTAAGTGATCTTGGTTCACTGCCCTGGCTCCTTGTTCTTTCCGTGCCCCTCATGGGATCGTCGGTTCGGAGCAGCTAGTTGAGACAAGCCAGCAAGCCTTTATTGAGTACCTACTACGTGCTACACTGTTCTGAGCACCGGTGAAGGGCCAAAACAGCCCCTGCCCCCAGGACCTCCCAGTGCAAACACTGACTCTATGTGCAAACAAGCCATATGGGGAATAAATTGGAGATGATAACAGTGGTAGCTAGAAAGGCTCTTAAAGGCCATCGAGTTGTGCCCCTGCATTTTACAGATCTAGAACCAGAACTAGAATACAGTTTGCTTTATTGTCTCCGCCATTAGACTGTGAGTTCCCTGAGAGAAGACCTGTCAGTGCTTTCCACTGTGTCTAAGACATGCAAAGTATGCATTTCATAAATGCTTCTTGGTTTAACTTGATCAGACGGGGAACGAACCTAAAAGCCATTGAGTCCAGCCGTTTCATTTTACACATCCAAAGCTAGAACTGGAAGGGACCTTAGTAACCTTCTAGTCCAGTTCCCTTACAGATGAGGAAACTGAGGCTCAGAGAAGTTAAGCAAGTGTACCCGGGAGGAGGAGGGAAGTAAAACAACTAGGAATTGTCCTAGGTAGGATTTGAACCACAGTCTTCAGTATTCCAGGACCAGCACTCAAATCTATATCATGGTATTCCAGGTTCTTCCCTTTCCTACCCTTATTGATCCACCCAGACCCCAACCCTGTTTCCTCTCCAGGTACAAGGGTAAAGCTTCAGCATCCAGAGTCAGAGTCTGAAAAGAGTGAGGCAGCCTCACCTACCCTCGAATTTCATTGGCAATGGGAAGACTCAGAGGGTATTTGGCACTGGTACCCTTCTGCTCAGGATATGGAGATCACAGAGGCTTTCAGGTCAGTACTATTCAGAATTTCCTATCATTTCTATGCCTGAAGTTAAGGATTTGGTCCAAAGGATCAGTTTTCCTGGGGACAATTTCATATCCTAGGAGCAGGAGAATTGAGACCTACTTTCAGGGAGATGCTCTGACCTGTACCCTCACGCTGAATTAGTCTCATCCAGCTTTCTGTGGTAGAGAGTCATTGACTACAGATATTTAAGAAAATATCACTGATCTGTTGGAGCCTATTGGAGTTGCACTGTCTGCAGTAGAGTTTGAATGCTTGGCAGGATCTGGTACCTTTTCTTGCCAGGTGATCTTCAAAATATTTCTGAGACAATTCAAATGGCAGTGATTCAGTTTCCTGGCTTGGGACAATTAGGAAGTAATTAAAAGTAGAAAGTTATTAGAATTAAAAAGACTTGGGAAATACTTCATGTAGAAGGTGGGATTTTAGATTGGACTTCAAAAAATTAAGGGAAACCGGTAGGTATAGATGAAGAAGAGTGTTCTATACATGGGGGATAGCCAGAGAAAATGACTAGAGCTGAGAGATGGTGTATTTTGTTCCTGGAACAGGGGGCGAGTATCAGAGTATGTGGAAAGGAGGGAGGAAGACGTATAAGGTATAATAAGACTGGATAGGTCATGGAGGGCTTTGAACTCCAAACAAAAGATTTTGTATTTGATCTTGGAGTAGAGGAGTGATATGTTTGGACTTTCACTTTAAGAAAATACTTTGGGGGCTGAATGGAGGATGGGGAGTATGGGGAATAATGTGGAAAACCTTTAAAGAAGCAGACCGACCAGCAGGCTATTGTAATATTCCAAGAGTGAGGTGATAAAAGGTCTGCTCTAGAGTGGTGGCAGTATTAGAGGAGAATAAGGGACATATTTGAGAGATGTTCCATAGGGGAAATTGATAGGTTTTATCAACTGATTGGATATGGGGGATGAGAGATAGGGAGGAATTGAGGATGACACCTAACTTGTGACAAAAGGAATTTTAGATATAGTCTGGACTGGCCCGGTCCCTAACCTGAGGATGGCCAGAACTGAACAAAGCTGGCCAGCGGCTGGTGAGTCAGGAATCAAATTAATTTCGGAGTGAGGAAGATGCTTGCAAGTGAAGTCTGTCTTCCAGAGAAGAAGAACTTACTTGCTTATAGCAGGGGTATAGTTTTGGAGGTTTTTTTGGCTAGGCAGTGGGGTTAAGTGACTTGCCCAGGGTCACACAACTAGTATGCATTATGTGTCTGAGGCCATATTTGAACTCAGGTGCTCCTGGATCCGGGGCTGGCGCTCTGTCCACTGCACCACCTAGCTGCCCCAAGGGGTACAGTTTTTAAGCATGAAAACCACAAAGGGCTGGACCACAACACAGTCATTTTTAGGTCTTGAGTAAACAGTTCCCACAGCAGGCCCATTTGTGCAGGCATTTTTTGGGACAATGCAGGCATTCTTTGGTCCTGTGGGTATAGTCTCCAAGTTACGTGAATTATTGAGCCTTGTAACTGTCTCGAGTCGTTAGGGTTGTTGAGTCTTGTAGTTGTCCATTGGAGTATAGAATCAGAGTTAATGTGGCAAGAACAGGAGTGCAGCACCTGGTTCAGTTCACTTAGCAGTTACAAGTGCATAGATTGTTAGCCCATCAGGAGATGTGATTGATCACTTGAGAGCTGCAGTCCCAGCTCTCAGGTCAGGATCTCCTGGGAAATGGGGAAGCTGCAGCAAATCGAAATAGTTAGTATGATCATTACGCATAATATGAAAATCATAAATCCCAGTTCTGGGATTTTGCTGTAGCTGAGATCATCCAAAGGCTGAGTGCCAAGGATTGTTGTTATGCCAAGCTCAGGGCACAGCTTGCTTGCTAGGCCTTAGCTCTGGAAGACAGGGTGTCTCCTAATTTCTGGACACTTGTGAGCCAGAGGAAGTTCAAGGATGGCATTGCCCTTGACAATAATAGGGAAGATAGGATTTCGGGGTATGGTTTAGGGGGAAAGATATTGTCTATTGGACTTCCAGTTTCTGTCTGAAGGGCAATTGGAGATGCAAAATTAGAGGTCAACAGAGAGATTGGTGCTGTATAGGAAGGTTTGAGAATCATCAACATAGAAATAATAATTAAATTTATGGGAGGTGAAAGATCACAAAGTGTAGGGGGAGGAGAGAAGAGGGCCCCAAAGTGAGCACTTTGGGACATCCATAGTTAGAAGGTATGACTTGTGTGATGATCCAGCATTTAGAAGGTATGACTTAAATAAGAGGTAGAGAATGAAGGATCTGATAGATAAGAGGAGAACCATAAAAGAAAACTAGGGTTTCTTTTGAAAACCTAGAGAGAAGAGAGTATCCAGGAGAAGAAAGTGATCAGTAGTGTCAAAGGCTACAGAGAAGTTGAGAAGAATGAGGACTGAGAAAAGGCCATTGGATTTGGCAATTAAGAAGTCATCGGTAACTTTGGGGAGAGCAGTTTTGGTGGAACAGAGAGGCAACAGATTGTAAGAGGATAAGAAGAGAGTTGAGAGGAGAGAAAGTGGAGGCTTGTGTTAGCTTTTTCAGTCCACAGAGGGCAGAAAAGATAAAGGACGATAATTAGGGGGATGAAAGTATCAAGTGAGGATTTTTTGAGGGTGGGAGAGAGATGAGCATGTTTTGCAGGTAGTAGGGAGGAAGCCAATAGGGAGAGATTGAAGATAAATGGTAAAATGGAGATGATACGGGATAATCTGTTGGAGGAGATGGGATGGAATGGGATTGCTTGTACAGGTAGAGAGGATAGCCTTGGTAAAGAGTAAGGCCCCCTCATCATGTGAGATGGGTAAAGGAGGAGATAGTGGTAGAAGAGGTGTGTGTGTATGATTTTCTCCACCTTCTTTTGTTTTGTTTTTGCTTTTTTTGGTGAGCCAGTTGGGGTTAAGTGACTTGCCTAGGGTCACACAGCTAGTAAGTGTCAGGTACCTGAGGCCAGATTTGAACTCAGGTCCTCCTTACTCCAAGGCTGGAGCTCTATCCACGGCGTCACCTAGCTGCCCCTTTTCTGTACCTTCTTTAGCAACATATGTATAGGAGTGAAGGTGGTGGATTGTGGGAATGAGCCAAGACTGAGGCTTGCCAAAGTGCAATTGGTGATGTGATAAGGGGGCTAGGGACTCAAGAGAACAATGTAAAGTTGAACTGGTTCTCCAGGGGGTCAAGGTGGGGAAAAGAGGAGAGTGGAGCTATTACAGGGGAGATGGCCTGGGAGAGAACCGAGGGGTCGAGGAATTGGAGATCACTGTGTGCACGAAGAATTGAATTGGCAACAGAAGGCAAAGGGACAGGTGGAAAACCTAGACTGTGGTCAGATAAGGGGATTTTGTAATTCTTAAATGTGGAAGTGGTACATTGTGTGGGTGATTGCAAGAAC